ATTTAATCATAATAATATAATAATATCAATACCGGCATATTAAAAATATAGTCTGCGCTTTTAAAGACATGAAATCCGTATTTACCATTCCTCTTTCTGGCAGGCTTTGACCTAGTAGGTCTGGCCCAAAGCCGTAGAAATTTTACATATTTGGACCATGAATCCTGTCGGGTCAACAGTGGGTAAGACCTCTTTCCCATAGAAACTGAAGAAAAACGAACCGCCAACCACACGGGTTGTGCGTCTATGTATGGCGGTGTCTAGGAGTATACATATCTGGAATCAGCTTTACCAACCAAAAAAAGGAAAAAAAAAAAAGGCAACTAAAATATTACTTAAACTACCAAATCATCTACCATTCGCTATGTGGTCAAGTGTAAAATTATTTGTATTTTTAATTATAAGTTTAAAATTTAATTTTAATCTTCACCTACTAATACAAAACTATCACATAATTAATCTCTGCTCCTCTGAATGTTGCTCTTAGGCTCAATTTCTCTACTGCAGGCAGAAATCGTGTGCCATTGAATTCGGGAGGAGAGGAAGACACTCGAGGGGGGATGGGAGGATTTTAGCATTAGCCCTATCCACAACAGATCGAGGAAAATAAGAGAAGAAAAGTTAAGAGGGGCTGCGGTGGAGAAAAATCAGAAGAAAAAGGAGCTAGGAACCTGGCCATGGTATAGCCACCTTCAATTTGTGCTTGAATTTTGAGCAGCAAAACCCAAATACAAAGATCAGTTAGGTAAGTAACTGTAAGTGTCGTTTCTTTTTTCTTGGCAGACATTGGCTGTGTATAGCATTTAATCAAAGGCATAAATAGTTAACTTCAAACTAAATTCCTAATTTCCATTTATTACACCTGCCTAGCTAGTGCTCTGGAGCGGGGCCTGGGCTATTCCCCCTTTTCATTTTGTGAAGGTCATTCATTGTGCCTATATAATTCTATTAGTTTATAATTTTTTATATAATTAATTATAATATTTAAAAATATTTATTTCCATTTATTACACCTGCCTAGCTAGTGCTCTGGAGCGGGGCCTGGGCTATTCCCCCTTTTCATTTTGTGAAGGTCATTCATTGTGCCTATA